CACACACACACTAGCCATAAGAACAGCCAAGGGTCAGGAGAGGGTGGGCCAACATGACAGAAACCTCACCATTCTGCCTGTTCTTGAGGCAAATATGAGGAAAGCTGCACCCCTCTGTCCTCCAAAATTCACTGAAGAAGCTGGCTTCCTTGATGGGAAGCTATGTTCCAAGCCTTTTCCCACCAGTAAGGTGGCCCCTGTCGAGCCTATAGACCAAGGTATCTCAACCTCAGCATTACTGACATTTGGGGCTGGAAAATTCATTGTTCTGGAAGGTGTCCTGTGCATTATAGAATGTTTAGCAGCATACCCCTGCAGAGACTTTATAAACTCAACTACCGTTGGAACCACAGTCCACTAAATTGAGCCAGGATATGCATTCTGAATTTACCAGGTTGACTGCCTGCTAAAATAGATTTAAGTGGGAACCAGAGACTTATAAAGTTATACTCAAAATGCACAGGATACAGCTCAAAATTACTTGTCAGACTGAGAACTAGAAAAATCTCAACTCCAATAAGAAAAGACAATCAATAGACATCAAGCTAATACATTGTTTGAATTATTGGACAAAGATTTTAAAGCAGCTGTCATAAAAATTCTCCATTGAGCAATTATGAACACACTTGAAATATATTAAACATATTGAAGTGCGAGTAACCATGAAAGAACAGAAATTATTGGCAGTATATAGTATAGATGCTCCTTAACTTATCATGAGGTTACATGCCAATAAACCCATCATAAGTTGACAAGATCATAAGTCAAAAATGTATTTAATACACCTAACCTACCAACATCATAGCTTAGACTAGCCTAACTTAAACATGCTCAACACTTACATTAGCCTACAACTGGGCAAAATCATCTAACACAAAGCCTATTTTATATTGAAGCATTGAATATCTTGTGTATTTATTGAATACTGTACTGAAAGTGAAAAACAGAATGGTTGTATGGGTATTTCACACAGTTGTAAAGTCGAAAAATCATTAAGTCAAACCATTATAAGTCAGGGACCATCTGTAAAAGACAAGGGATTAATATCAAGAAATATAAAGATTTCCCAATACCACCTGACCCCACACTCCCATTATCGACCTCCATACCTTCTAATTAATTTTGCTGTGAACCTAAAACTTCTATAAAAAAATAAAATCTATTTAAATATATGTGTAGAGGAAAGGGGGGAGGTAGAAGAGGGTGAAGGGGGGAAGGGTGAAGGGGGGACAAATGGTGATGGAAGGAGACTCGACTTGGGGTGGTGAACACACAATACAATATACAGATGATGGATTATAGAATTGTACCCCTGAAACCTATATAATTTTATTAACCAATGTCACCCCAATAAATTCAATTAAAAAAAATAAAATAAACCCCAGGGGAAGTAATTTTATGGAAAAGGACCACATCCAAATAAAAGATTAAACAACAAATATATATACACACCTTGAAAAAATGTATACACATCTTGAATAATTATAAAGGCAATGTTTATTAAAATACATTTTCTTTCAAAATGTAATAGAATCAGCTATTAAAGGGTGTATACATTTTTGGGGACACCATGTGCATATATGAAACACCTAGAGGCTGGCAAACTACCTGTTTCTGCGAACTCCTGAATGAAGAATGGTTTTTACATTTTTTTGTGCTTGAGGGAAAACAAAAGAATATTTTGTGAGATGTAAAACTCAAACGAAATTCAAATTTCAGTGTCTATAAATAAAGTTTTATTGGAACAAAGTCCTGTTCATTTGTGTACATCCTGTCAGGACAGCAGAGCTCTGAAGTTTTCAGGGGGCTTCAGTGGTATAGTGTACTTTCCCAGCCCTATTTTCTCTGACGGTCATATAACTTGCTTTGTTCAGTGTCACATCAGTATGATCGAGATGAGGAATTGTGCTTGCACGTTTATTTATAATACTGCCTCATATGACCAAACCCGGACTTGGCTAGATGTTGGGAGACGGTGTGACCTTATCTCCACTGTATCTGGCCAGCTGACCCCGAGAGAGACCCCTGGAGAGCACTGACCACAGCCATCCAGGGAGTGTGATCCCTGGAGACCACTGACCACAGCCGACCCGGGAGTGAGATCCCTGGAGACCACTGACCACAGCCGACCCGGGAGTGAGATCCCTGGAGACCACTGACCACAGCTGCCCGGGGGTGAGAACACCAGGAGCCTGTCATCCGGGAGGCCGACCACTGGGCGCCGCGCCTGCGCCTGCGCCTGCGCCTGCGCCTGCGCCCGCCAGTGGGTGAGCGGGTGACCTGCCAGGGCCTCCAGGGCCGTCCTAACGTGCCCGGATGGAGGGGCAGGGGGACACCGCGATTGGCCGAGGCAAAGCCAGGCGTCAGGGTTCGCTCACGCGCGGGAGGCGGTCGCGTTGGGGCTGTCGCGTCCTGCGCGTGCGCGTGTCCTGGGCCCACACGGCGGCAGTCGCGCTTCGGCGGTGTCAGGGCGTCGTGCGCGTGTCAGGCAGCCATCGGGAGTCCAGCGGCCTTCAGCTGTCGCACCCCAGGGGCCTTCAGCCTCATGGTCGCCCCTCTTTTCTGCCCTCGCTCTGGGCCTGGAGCCTCGAGCAAAGCCTGGAGCCTCCTGCTGCTGCTGCTCCTCCTGCCCCCCGCCCGGGATGCAATCATGGCGCACAGGTGCCCCTTCAGGAAGGAGGTGTTGAACCGCAGCGTGGGTAGGCTCCCCCTCCCCCGGTCGGCAGTGGTTCTGGAGGCAGTCCAGCGCTTCCTCCCTCCGTGTCCCTTCCCTGTTGGAGACCTTTCCCTTACTTCCCCCTCCCCCTCGCCCGCTCCTACTCCTCTCTCCCCTTCCCTGTGACCCCAGCCTCTCCTCTCCCCCAGACTCACTCTTCTTGTGGGCCACCAGAGCCTCCCGCCCCTTTGCTTGGGGCCCGGCCTGCTCCTGCGGAGCTGCTGCTCACGCGCTCTGTATCTCTCCATTCAGCCTGCGGCCAGCGTCACATGCCGGGAAAGATCGCAGGGGGCATGGACGCCCCTGAGAAGAAGTGGCCATGGCAGGTCAGCTTGCACTACGCGGGCTTCCACATCTGCGGTGGGTCCATCATCGATGAGTACTGGGTCCTGTCAGCAGCCCACTGCTTTAGCAAGTGAGTGAGTGGTGCCAGTTGCCACTCCCATGGAGGTCCAGGAACCATGTGGTTGACCACACAAGACGGGTCGAGCTGGGACTACTTGGAATTGGAGAGTGGGGGCCAACACACAGCTCCATCCTGGGTAGCTTCTCCTGGCACAGGGTTGAGGGATCCTTAGGACCATCTGCTCTTTGAGATAAGTGTGGAGCCAAATCATAGGATGAGAAGTGAGGAGAGGAGGCACATCATAGGACAGATGAGGAGACACATCACAGGATAAGAGGGGAAGGGCCACATCATAGGATGAGAGGAGAGGATACATATCATAGGCGGGGATGAGAGGCACACCATAGGGTGAGAGCTGAGGAGAGACTTGTCTCTGGGCAGCCAGCCCACTTTACACCTGACAAGCTCATCTTGGACTGTGGGTGGCTGGCAGGTCCTGATGGTTTCCTGGATCTTCCGTGGGCCTAGGTCAGGACTTCTTTGGGGGCAGTTCTTCCAACAACCAAGTCCCCACTGTCCTGCAACAGATTACTTTTCCATGCCTTGGCTGAGAGCCTGGATACCAAGCTGCCATGCTCCAGGCCTCTCTGTGTCTGTGAGCTAGTGGTGGCTCCTCTCCCCAGGTTCAAGATACTTGAGCCATTATATCTTTGTTTTCTGTCCCCACAGGGACAACCACACTGAGGCATTTGATGTGTATGTGGGCCTTGTGCACCTCAAGATCGCAGGCAGTCATACCCAGTGGTTTGAGGTGAATAAAATTGTCATGCATCACACATATGAAGCGTACCACCCTGTTGGAGGTGACATCGCTCTGGTGCAGCTGAAATCTCGCATTGTATTTTCTGACTCTGTACTCCCCATCTGCCTTGCAACCCCAGACATGAACCTTCAGAACCTTACCTGCTGGGCTACAGGCTGGGGACTCATCTCCCCAAAAGGTAAGAGAACAAAGTACAACATCAGTCCCTTTATTGGAGTTTGTGGTAGGATGATGGTTCTATGGCACTAAGGAAAGAAAGTGTTCTATCAGTTACAGGGTTGCAGGTATCTGAGGACTATAATCCCAACTTATTTCTCTGTCAGTATGGAGTTTTGCTTTATCCCTGGCTGGCTTTGTTGTATACAGAGAAGTAGTTACTTCTACTTTGAGTGTGGAATTAATATTTAGTTTTTCAAGACCACAAGTTTCAAAGTAAAATTTCCTAAGATTGTAAATTTAACTTAAAGTAATTTTTTTAGCCTATTAAAATAGTTATTAGTTATTCTCATTTTCTGCATAAAACCCTAGTAGTTCTCTGTAGGTTTGTACCTGGCTACTTTAGAATGTTTATGGCTAAGTAAAAGATGCTTTTAAATTGCATTTGCTAATCAGTCATAGATGTTGATTTTTGCACACTGACCTTGTTTCCAGCCACCTTATAGAACTAATTTTTAATAGCTGGTCAATTGATTATTTGACTGTTCTAGATTTTTTTAAAAGCATGGTTTTTTCAAATAAAAATAAGGTTGCTTCATCCCTTCTTTACCTGTATTGTCTTTTTTTCTTATCTTATTGCAGTGGCTGGAAACTCCAGTAGAAATGATGCTAGGTCTCCTTTTCTTTTCTTTTAATGGAAATGCTTCTAATAGTTTACAATTAAGTTGATGCTTTGGTCTGGAAATTTTAGACTGATATCTTATACCAGGTTAAGAAAGTTCAAAATCTGGTTTACTTAATTTTTAAAAATATGGTATTGAAGGTAAGATGCTATAGATTAAAATTAGAATGTTTTAACTTTAGGATGTTAAATGTAATTCCCATGATAACTACAAAAAATAGCTATAGAATATACACAAAAGGAAATTAAGTGAAATTAACATTTCACTAAAAAATATGAACTAAACACAACATAAAACAGAATGCTGGCAATGACGGACAAAAAAGTTATAGAGCATGTAGAAAACAAATTTCACAGTGACAGAAGTAAGTCCCTCTTTGTCAGTAATTACTTCAAATGCAAATGGATTAAAATTTCCAATAAAAAAAAAACAAAACATAGACTGGCAGAACCAGCCATATCCTGTCTATAAGAGACTCACTTGAGAACCAAAGACACGAGAAGGTTGAAAGTGAAAGAATGGAAAAAGATATTTCATGCAAATAGTAACCAAAAGAGGGCAGGAGTGGCTGTACTAATATCAGACAAAACAGACTTTGAATAAAAAAGAGGTTACAAGAGACAAAGACATTATATATTAATAGAGGGCTTACTATATCAAGAATATATGACAATTACAAGCACTTACACATATATGAAACAAAAACTGACAGAATTGGAGAGACAGTTCTAGAAAAATAATTGGAGACTTTACTACCCCATTCACAAGAATGGACAGAACAGCCAGACAGAAGATAAGTGAGGATATCGAGAATTTAAACAACACAATAAACCGGCTAGTATAACACACATATACAGAATACTCCACCGAACACCAACAGCATACAAATTATCTCAAGTGCATTTGGGGAATTTTCAGAATAGACCATGTTAGGTTACAGAGTGATTCTCAATAGATTTTAAAAGAGAAGTATACAGAGTATCTTCTCTGATCACAATGGGATGAAGTTAGAAATCAATAACGTAAAACTGGAAAATTCACAAAATTGTGGAAACTTAACAACACACTTTTAAACAACCACTGTATCAAAGCAAAATATCACAAGGAAAATTGTAATATACTTAGAGATAAAAAAAACAATGAAAACACAACATACTAAAATTTATAGAACACAGCAAAAGTGGTGCTAAAGAGGAAATTTATAACTATAAATGCTTACATTAAAAAATAAGGAAGATCTCAAATCAGCAACCTAACTACAACTTAAGAAACTAGAAAAAGAAGAAACTAAACCCAAAGTTAGCAGGAGGAAGAAAAGAATGAAGATTAGAGCAGAGATAAGTGAAAGAAAGAAGAGAAAACAATGGAGAAAATCAATGAAACCAAGTTGGTTCTTTGAAAACATCAACAAAATTGACAAACCTTTAGCTAGATGGACTGATTTAAAAAGATTAAACTCAAATTGCTAAAATCAGAAATGAAATTGGGGGCATTATTAGCAATTCTACAGAAATAAAAATGATTTTAGAAAGGACTATGAACAACTGTACTCCAACAAGTTGGACAAATTCCAACTAGGTGATGGACAAATTCCTAGAAACAGAAAGCCTACCAAGACTAAATTATGAAGAAATAGATAATCTGACTAGACCTTTAGTAAAGGGGTTGAGCCAGCAATCAAAAATCTTTCAACAAAATGAAACCCTGGACCTGATGGCTTCACTGGCGGATTCTACCAAACATTTAAAGAAGAACTGATCCCAATCTTTTTAAAATTTTTCCAAAAAAAATGAAGAGGAGGGAACACTTCCTAACACATTCTATGAGGCCAGCATTATCTTGAAATCAAAGGCAGACAAAGAAACTACAAAAGAAAGAAACTACAGATCAATATCTTTTATGAACATTGATGCAAAAAATTCTCAACAAAATACTAACAAACAAATTCAGCAACATATTAAAATGGTTACACACTGCGACCAAGTAGGTTTTATTCCTGGAGTGCAGGGATTGTTCAACATATGAAAATTGATCAATGTAATACACCACATTAACAAAATGAAGGGTAAAAACCACATACTCATCTCAATTGTTGCAGAAAAAGCGTGCGACAAAATTCAGTACCCTTTCATGATTATAAAAACACTCAACAAAATAGGAATAGAAAAAAAGCCATATAGGAAAAGCCATATAGGAAAACCTACAGCAAACATAAAATTTATGGTGAAAGACTGAAAGTTTTCTTTAAGATCAGGAGCAAGGCAAGAATGCCTGCTTTCACCACTTCTATTCAGCATAGTATAGAAGTTCTAGCCAGAGCCTTTAGGCAAGAAAAAGAAATAAAAGACATCACACTGGAAATGAAGAAGTAAATGATCTCTGCAGATGATATTGTCTTATATGTATAAAATCCTAAAGACTCCTCAAAAAAGCAATTAGAACTAATAAATAAATTCAGCAAAATAGGATACTAGTGAACACACAAAAGACAGTTGTATTTCTATACAAGATGAAGCATCTAAAAATTACAAAAACAATTATATTTATTCTAGCATCATACTAAGAGCTTCCCAGACAAGAAAAAGCTAAAGGAGTTCACCACCAGACCAGTACTACATGAAGTGTTAAAGGACTTTTTGAAGAAGAAGCAGCAGCAGCAGGAGGAAGATGATAAAAAATATGAACAATAAAATGGCAATAAATACATATCTATCAACAATTGAATCTAAAAATCAAAATAAACAAATAAGCAGAACAGAAACAGACTTATAGATACAGAGAACATTTTGATAGTTGCCGGATGGGAAGGGTGTTGGGAGGATGGGTGGAAAAGGTGAAGGGATTTGGAAGTACAGATTAGTAGTTATAGTGTAGTCATGGGGGTGTGAAGTACAGCATAGGGAATATAGTCAATAAAATTCTAATAACTATGTATGGTATCAGATAGGTATGAGATTTTTTTGGATGATCACTTAATAAGTTTTGTAATGTCTAATCACTAGGGTGTATACCTGAAACTAATATAATATTGTATGTCAACTGCAATTGAAAAATTTAAAAATGATTTAAAAAAAAAATGTACAGGGTACACAGAGGCCAGATGCTGCCTGTTTGAGAGGTTTTAGGAAAGTTTGAAGCATGAGGCAAGAGAGGCCATTTGTATGGAAAAGCCACAGGAAACAGCTTGGGTGGGCCCACAAGTTGGGTGGGGCAGGATCTCAGGGAATCACCAGGGCAGGGCAGACAGTATGAGCCAGGTTGATGGGGGGGAGGGATGTCTCATAAAAGGAATATTGGCCTCTGCTAGAACTTTTCTCTGCGAGAAAGCTGCCCCTCCAGCTCTCTGATGCCAGATAATTCAGTTCCTTCTAATATGTCCCTGGTTCCTTTCAAGCTGCTAGTGAGTCTGAGTAAGTTCTTCAATGGGACCTTTAAGAGGAACTGCCTGGAACTCCAGCAGTCTTCTCTCTCACTCAGCCACAATTCCCACTGGTTTTTATAGTAATAAGTTATGGGGACTTTGCTTCCTGATTCTGGAACCCTGGTCTGGGAGATCTCACTCTTCAGGGGGTACCTTCAAGGCTAAGATATCCCTTCTGATTTTAAACCACCATATGTGGCTGTGGGACCATCCAGTTCAGCATCTCTGCCCCTCCTACCAGTCTTGATGTGGCTTCTTCTTTAAATCCCTAGTTTAAATCCATTTAGCTAGATTTCAGGTGGTTCTGGATGATAGTTCTGTAGTTTAGCTGTAAGTTTGATGTGGTTGTGGGAGGGTTCTAGTACTGCATTTACCTATGCCGCCATAGCTTGGAAGAAGCAGCAAAGCCTGCTTCTGTGCTTGCTGGGCTTGACTCCTCCATTGGTTTCTTTTTGCCATTATACATAATGCTGCAGTGAACATTAATAAATGCTTCTCTTTATTTCCATCTGTGAGGGTATCTTTAATGTAGTGGATCTTGGAGGGTGGGGCAATAGACAGGATAATTCACAATTGAGTGCTGCATTCCTGGGATTTTGGATAATTTTGTATCCCAGATCCCATCATTAAATTCCAGTCATGTCACAACCCAACTATACCAGCATGCATTTACAAATATACCCTGACACGCCTTTCTTACCTCCAAACCTCTGAGGAGAATTTCTACATAGATTATATATCTAGGAGTAGAATTTTTAGATTTGTACAACTAGCATATATGAATTTACTAAATATTAAATTGACCTTCAATCTTCACTAACTTATATTACTAATTTGTATCACTAATTTACAGTACCATCAACAGGCATGAATATTTCCTTATACCATACCATTAACACTTAGTGTTATTATGCTGTT